CATATCTTCCCCTTCTATTTGCCAGAAGGTCATGGGACCAGTGGCCATGATCTTCGTTTTTTTGATGTTGAGTTTCAGACCATTTTTTGCACTCTCCTCTTTCTCCCTCATTACAAGGTTCTTTAATTCCTCCTCACTTTCTGCCATCAGAGTGGTATCATCTGCATATTGAAGGTTGTTGATATTTCTTCCGGCAATCTTAATTCTGGTTTGGGATTCCTCCAGTCCAGCCTTTCGCATGATGTATTCTGCATACAAGTTAAATAAGCCGGGGGACAATATACAGGACATTAGGTTGTACTTATTTATAAGTGAATTACCATTTATCACTTGTAGTAATAAGCTTGTGTAAAATGCATGCAGAAGTACTTAAAACATGACAGTGGAAAGTAGATTTAACTATTTATGTGGCAAGTATTAGAAATATTTTTCATGTTTGTAAAACCATTCTGTGTTCTAATTGTATACCCTAGCAAATTACAAAGACAAACATGTTCGACTCACAATAGTGTAATCTTAATTTTATTTATTTTAAAATCTTATAGTCTATTAATCAGTTTATGATAGATTTAGAGCCACCTGATTTACCCAATCCATCTTTTCCTTTTGTCTCCAAAGGACTGAAAAAACGTACAAGGAAGGCCTTTGGAATACGGAAGAAAGAAAAGGATTCAGATTCCACGTAAGTATATACAGAGAAAGGGAAGTATGATAAATTCTAAATTATAGAAAGATTATATCAGTATTACAGGTTCAGTGGTATTTGACTTGCACAATGAAACATTGGCAAAGCTTTAATAGTTCTAATTTGCAAAAATAAAATACAAAAATAAAGATATTCTAAATGCATGCTAGTTCAGCCTTACATGAATGAGACAACTCATTATAACAATGGTTGAGATCATAAAGCCAAAATTATAGCCTTTGTTGATTTTGTAGGCCACATATTTATTCATCTTAATTTTAGGCTGCCTTTTGTCCAATAAGGGAGACTTCTCCCTTCCTCTCTGCTTTTTCTAAAAAAGTATCTCAGACTGTACCTCATTCCTTTGACACCCAGTGCTTTTGTGAGAAGCTAGGTCTGAAACAATCTGCTTTAACTAATTATAGGATTAAGCCTGCTATAAAATCTTGTTTTAACTGCAGTCTATCTGACTGAGAGACTTGGCAATACAAGGAGGCCAGCTCATGGAAAAATTAAGCATTCTGGTACTTTTGCGGCTGTGGAGAATTGTCCTGGCTTTTCAGCTATACAGTACTTCTATGTCAGGATCATTGTTCCACAGCTGAGCTGTATAACATAATGGGATTGGAGAACAGCTTTTGATGTTAAGCTGTTTTGTAACATGCAATGCATCAAGATCCCGGATGAGTTGAAAAAAATCTGAAGTATTTTCCTCCCTTGTGTGAAGGAGAAAAAATACATGAAGGTATGGGTGGCAAGAAAATAAATGGCTCCTTTTTTTTCTTCATCCTTCACCATATGTCTGTCCTTTGCTGTCAGTCAGTAGGAGCTGTTATTCGTTTCGGGAGATTTAAAACAAAAATAAATATGATTTTCAAACCATCATTTCTATAAATACACATTGTGAGGTAGCTGTTTGTTAAATCCCTTCACATGTTCATTGCTGATTTAAGAAGGAAAGGAAAGGAAAGAAGCCTAACATAGTGAAAGCCAGTTTTACTTTCCAATAACATTTTAGGAACTAAGAACTACCCAGTTTGCCCAAAGTGCAAAAGGCAAACATTTATTGCCTCTCCTTGAAGGTGTATGTCTCCATTGCAGACCTAGTTTATGTTGGGTTGCTTAGCAACGGGTGACTGGTAGCTGCTGCAGCTATACTTGAGAGATCCACTTAAACTGATCAAGGAACTGCATGTAATGCCTAACACTCCTTCAGTAATATGGCGCACTTCTAGAATATGTGATGTAATAGATAACAGAGGGCCCATCTACTTTGAGCATTTATTCAATTTTCTTCACTTCCATGATGCCACTCTTGCATCCTGGTGTCCACATAAGATAAAGCTGAAACTAGTGTCAACAGAGTCAATGTAGGACAAAAATGCTTGTTTTCCATGGTTCCCCCCCCAACCCACACACACACACACATTTCCATATGCTGGTATAGTTTTTTTCTGATTTGTCCCGATGCAAGATCTGCTCACATCCATGCACTTTGGAAGCAGGGAGCAGACGTCATTTGATGATATTTCCTTACTGGCTTAATTTAGCCAATCAGCGTCCACCCCTACATAGCTTATTGCCACTCTTTTTTACTTTTCTTAGAATATCAGGTGTTCTTGCTCTGATTTTTAATAAAATTTCACTTTTGCACTGTAGCACAAAAGTGAAACAAAAAAGATTAAAAACTATATAAACATGAAGGTTTCAGAAAAGTGGGCAGGTCAAAACAAGGAGGGAAGGGAGGGGGAGTCCAGTAGGCAGAGAGAAGGCAGACAGACAGACAAAAGGGAACAGCAGTATGTGTTGGGAGTGAAAACTCAGGCAGCAATTACAGATGTGTGTGGAGAAGTTAGTACCAGGACAACCCAGTATATCTCAGTACATCCAACAACATTTCTACGTGTGGATGCCAATACTGAAGTGATCAATTCAATAACCATGTGCCCCTTTTTTAAAATAAAACTCCAAATCCCTGGATTGGGAACTCTACCTGTCAAACTCAAACCTACAGATACCTCCATTGTGCTCATCTGGAGAACAGCTGTGCTGAAAGTCTCCACAGCCTAGGATAGGCCAAGGTCCAGCCTAGCATTCTGAGAGAATAAGAAGTTGCCCCAGTGCTTGCTGGACCTAACCTGGACCACGAAGGCTTCTAATTTGGCCATTCTCCAGGTGACTGCAACATAGATGCCTGTAAGTGTGGGTTTGGTAGGTGGAACAGAGAATTCTGGGATTTACAGTCTCCAAAGAAACAATAACCCAAAACGAAACAAATGACACATCTCTGCTATTCAAATCTTCAACCAAAAAATACAATAATTACCCAGAGCAACCTTTGAATTATGGGGACCAATACTAGCCGCCCAGAGTGGTAGAATATACCAGATGGGGGGGATATAAATCAAACAAATAAATAAATAAAATAAATAGAGTGTGGACATGCCCAACAACCTTAGAATGATAGGCATCAGTACCATAGTGTGGATCTTTGGAACAAAGACAGAGTACCTTTTCCTGACTCCTGGTAACAGTTTTCCTCCAGCTGTCTGGAATTAGAGAGGATAACTTCTATGCATGTTTAAACCTGGCACTTTTCTGATCAGAAACTAGCCATGAAGAACGCTGATATTTATATGACATATTAATGTATACAGCAATAAGTGTTTGGCACACATCAAAATGCAATATACATGTGCAACAGACTGTTAGTACATTGGATATTCATGCATACCTTCCCAGCAACATAAGTCACAAGCATATTATGTGTGATGTTTAACCTTTCAGAGTTAAACATCATCTGAAAAGTAGCCAAGATTCAATGAAAGAAATGAGAATAAATAGATTTCATTCTTATTAATTCAATTTTGAAAATTAAAATCTTAGTTTTTAAAAATATTTTTTATAAATCTGATACTGTATTATTGTAAATTATCTCTGAAAATATATCCACCATAAATGTCTTTTTGGAGTTTAGTGCTACTGTCCATCTGAAACAACAAATCAGAACAGAGAATAAAATATATAGAGAGAAGAGAGGAGGATCAACTAATACACAGAAATGTGTATTTTTCTTTTTATCAATCAGTGTTACATTTGTCTAAAAATCATCCCTATTTAAACAATGAATGCTAAGACCACACACACGATAAGCTTAATGGAACACTTTTAATGTAAATAACCTCACAACTGTGGCACACAGACAACAAAAACAATTTAAAATATTTTCCTCTGGAGAAAATGAATGAGGTAACAACTACTTTCCTGCAGTATATGAAGCCCAAAGCCCAATGTAATCTTTAATAATTTCAGTTGCCACTTTTTATGGGCACACTGGGAGTACTAATGGTGATGTAGTTTTATAGACAACCTACTGTATCAAAGAGTGGATGTGTTTAAACAGAATACGCTGACAGAAGAATAAAATGTTAAAACATAAATTAATAGAGACTTTAACTGCAGATACACTTTATGCTAGTTTCCTGTTCAAAGTTTTTGTATGCTGTTCTTACTCCTTTGGCAGTGCCACAGTATACATCTTAAAATATAGAGATTTACAAAATACAGTAGGGCCGAAACTTTTCACTACATGAATTCAACTTTTTCTAATGCATCTCTTAAAGGAGAACTTCAAGGACCTTGCCTTGTCAGCCCTGTTCTGTTACTACAGTTATACATTTATATAGTTCACTTGCAAGTTGTTATCCATCTTTAATTTTGTTCACACTCACACGTAGCCTTATATATGGAGAGTGCCATAATTCCAGCTTCACACATGGAAATTAAAGTGGGGAGGCTTGAGGCTTTAAGGAATATCTGTGAAAAGGGTTCCTTGTTTTAGTGAAAGAAGATTTACTCCTGAGCTACTCCACTGTCTTCTGCACATATATTAGGCATGGACATTTGTAGGGGAAAAGACTATAACTGCAGAATTTCCATGTATTCTGGACCTTCAGTAGTGCAAAGTTCCGGAATACTGTATGTGGAAAGCCTACCGAAATGCTTGGAAAACTGATGACAGCAGCATGATTTAAAGGGGGCTAGTTCACTGGCATGGTTCTGTGGCTCCTTTTTATGAATAAGGCTCACCAAATAATTCAGGTGTGAAGGGTGTCAGAGTTACTAAAGCCTAAATCCATCTGTTAATACCAACTGGAGCCCTGAATTACCAAAGTTCTGTTGAACCTCTACTTTATACAAACAAGAAAAGGAAAATATTTTAGAAGTAAAGTTTAGGTTGGTTGTTCTCTTATGGTAATTCCTGTTTTGATTTGTTACAGAGGATCACCAGACAGAGATGGAACTGTAAGTATTTAAGTGTCTTTATTATATTAATGTTAATTTTAGAGTAGATACGTCTAATGAAATATGCTTTCTCCAAGCCATGAATATCATAAGCAATTCTTATCCCTTTGCCCTATTTCTATTTTGATATATTGAACCTATTAATATTATCAGTTTCTACTCTCTGAAGTTCAGTGTTATGTTTAAACCATGGTTTAAGCTTTTGATTTGGGATAATTTTCTTTTCCTATCTGTTCCTGCCTTGATGAAAGAGAAATCAGTTTAATAATATTACTTCCCAAATAGAAATGCGAAATAATACTAACAAAAATGAACAAATATAAAATAAATAATAAAAATGTGAAAATTTTAAACATTTCCTATATATGAGAGTATTTAAATTTGGTTTTAAAAAAAGCAGGAAATACTTTGAAAATAACAGTCTATGAAAAAATAGAAATAGGAGGAGGGTTGCTTTTGAGCTACTGCTGCTTTTATTTTACAGTTTTAGGCTTTCAGTCTCTGCTAGAGTTGGATGTTAGAAGAAACCCACCTTTTCAGCAATTAGAATTTTAAGTTTACAACAAAGAATTTTGGGATCAGATGATGAGTTTGTTTTAAATTGAATCCTGATTTTAAAACCCTTCCTTAAATTTATCACATGATGGCAGCTGCAGCAAGTTACAAGTGTTCTTCACCAGGTTTTCATCTGTGGGATGGAGACACAACAAGTTACACAGAATGTCATTTATTTTCTGAAATTACAAGGACCGAAGACTAAGGGCCTTTCCAGACTGCTATTTCGTACACGCTAGATTAGCAGCCCTTGGATTGAATGGTATTAAGATACCTTGCTTTCCAAAGAAAACCCCACAAAAAACAAATAAAAAAACACCTTATTGTTACATTTTCCCGGTTGTCTGATGTCACTGGTGAAATTGGGTTCTTAACTCTGGTTAGTATATCCTTGAGACTTTGCAGGTGCTCTATTGGATGGATGGTGTGGGTGCCATGGCATTATTATCAAAGAGCACTTGCATTTAGTGTTTTCTAACTTTGAGTTATTTCTTTAAAAAACAAACATTTTTGTTACCACTCAAAACTGCATGCTCTCTCTCTCTATATATATATATATAACTCCAGTACTTTATCTAGCCCTTATAATCAATGGCAGATTCTAGGAAGACTCTTTTTTTAAAACTTCTACAGTAATTCCCTACTGACAAAAATCTTTTTCTTTGCTTCTTAAAAGACCATGGTACTTCCTTTCTGTTTTCGGGATGCCTATCTCACATTGATTCTTTCTTTTTTAATTTTTTTTAAAAAAAAATTAAGTTGACCATTTGTCGTCTCTATAGCAAGACTGTATTTCCTTCCACATATCTCTCATTCAATATACGGGGTTAAAATATCACATCATTAGTTTTGAATTGAGCCAGCACAAATACAGCTTTAAAAGCAAAATTGCAAGGGGTAAGAGAATGGTTTATCTTCTGGAAAGGCCCTCATATATACTTTTGTGAATCGTTATTTTCAAAATTCTGACCCAAGATCCTTAATCTTCAGTTTTAAACATATTTGCTTGCAATTAAATGTACAGTGATTGTTTAAAAAAATAAAGCTGGGAAGCTATCAAGGGTGTTACTTAACTACAGCTTTATTGTGCTGATGTTAGCTGTGATTAGCATAGGATTTTGACCATTCTGGCCTTGATTTTCAAGTAGATGTGCATAGGGTCACAGCTTTAGAGTGGAAGGGGGGGAAACTGCATTCACAGATCCCTGCATCTCCATTGTGTTCTGTAAAGTGCTTTTAGTTTATTTTACTCAACCACTCCCTTTTTTTCTAAAGCAGATCGCAATTAGAATGCTCAGCTTTGATTGACAATTTGGTCAAGGCTCTGTTCAGCAGAGGAAAACAGAAAACAAAAAACTGCAATCTTTCTGATCAGGCATGTTGCTTCCCTTCCAGGCTCCATCCATATGGCAGAATTACAGGCCCTGACAGGGGGAAGGAGACATTGCATAGTACCTGTGCAAACATCTTATACCCTTACCTGTGCAACGTCCTGAATGTACAAATCAATTTGGCATTGAAGTACTAAATAAAAAACACAGACCTCTTATTTGTGGAGGTGTGTTTACTTTGTAGCTTCTGTTCTATTAGCCTGGAAAGTATATCTTACAGTTTGATAAAGGTGTCTATTTAAGATTCTTGGATGTTGAAATTTAGAAGGGCAAATATTTAATGTAGGAGAGCCATTACTGGATCTCATAATGCCCTTTTCCACACCAAAAAAAAAAGCAGGAAGAGCGATGAGTGAGGATTTCAATCAGAGTCATGGAATTACAAATGTAACGTTTTCCTCGTTACGCCATGTCATCAATTTATATTGCTTTCCCTCTAGAGTTGCTATCAGCTATGAAATGGGGGAAGGGGAAGGAGCAAATGATAGAATGGATTTGGAATAGGGTCTGTAAGCCATCTGGTCCAACCTCATGCTTGACTGAGAAATTCAGAGCTGGAACATTGCCAATAAATGGTTGTCCCAGAGCTTAAAAGTAACTATTTACAAATAGTTGTAATTCATTCTTTTCCTCTGTAACTAAGGTATAAGTACATTACTTTATGACTGTAATTTAACAAGGTGTGTCTTCACTCCTTTTATGGTCTAATGTTACTTTTAAAATATCTTTATAGATATGGGGTTGTGTGCTCACTAAATAGTGGGCAAGACATATTACATGGTTTAACCACTGGCTTACACTGCACCTTGCTGCATAACCAAGTTTGCTGATGGAAAAATATCCAGATAACTGAAGATAACTATTTCAGCTGACTTTGAAAAGCCAGAGTTACATCTTAGAAATATGAATCAGTTTTGAAAAGCCAGAGTTACATCTTAGAAATATGAATCAATGACTAAGAGTCATTTAAAATGACATTTTCAAGCTCTAGTCTGTACACTGAAGATGTACAGGAAGGGGACAGCCACGTTTAGCAGCATCTGTTGTCAAACTGCTTTTAATGTTAAGAACCTTTAGTTGCTGTTCAGCCAAAATCTACTCTTCTGTAATTTAAGCCCATTAGATCTAATCCTGTGCTTTGGAAGAAAAAGAATAAAGTGGAAGTTTACATGATAGGTATTTGTATTATGCCCCAACCAGAGGTTAATAAGAACTTTGAAGTGGGAACCAGTTATATTTGGGCTGGGGAAAGCAATCAGCTGCCCTGACAAAGCTCTGAAGCTCTCAATTAAATCAATTCTGCCAAGAAGTGCTTTTAACAGTTACCACAATGACACGGGGAGATCTGATCAAGGATTTCAGACATAACATCTGGATCAGCCCATAATCTTTCAGTTTCCACCTACAGGCAGGTAATACTCTTAAACTGCCTTGATTTTCTTCTGTCTTGCAATATGCAAGGTGCTGTCTCTATAGAGCTCAAAACTGCCTGCTGTGGCCAGTTGATCAAGGGTGCTACTCTGTTCCTTTATTTGATGACATCAGCTGTGATTAGCATAGGATTTTTTACCATTCTGGCCTTGCTTTTTCATCACGACTGCTATGGAGTGTTCACTATGATATGTTGGTATGCCCTTCTCTCCACACTTCTAAATGTAAAGCAGAGAAATTACAATTAACTTTGTTTAAAAACTGTAAGGGATGAATCTAAACTATACAGAATCCCTTCTAAAATTACGTCTAGGAAAATATGTTTATTTTATCAAACATGAGTCTGAAAAGCAAGGATTTGTGTTTAGTATATGATGTTAAGTGTGGCGTTTTGCTTTTTTGCTGATGTTTAAAATTTACACAGGTAAGAGGAATGCAGCTTTTAAGCATGTTTCAAAACTGGTCCTGTTAGTAGTCTTGTTATTACGTAGAGCTCATAAAGGGTTATATATTATTCCAAGAAAGAAAGAGATCTGACTCTTAGAAAAGGATTGTGTTGCTAGGAATTATTCAAGACTCAATTCAAAGTAAAAAAATAAAACCTGCTAAACTTCTTTCTTGTATAAAATCAAAATGAACAGATTTGCAACCACAGTTTTTAGGTACATATTCAGCTGCAAAGAGATGCTGAATTACATCACAAAACTCCTGATAACTGGTACTATGGTTAGCAGATTAGATTTTTTTTAAACGGGCTTTGTGTGAGGATGCAGTTTGGTGACTTTTTTATTACTTATAAAAATCTTGTTCTCAGTTCTAGAACAAAGAAAATCCTTTAAAATCAGTGGTATCTGTACCTACTGTTCAACTAGGAGTGATTTCCTGCTGAATAGAACCTTGTCATATGCTCCAAAACAGTTCGCTGATAGCAAGTTTAAATCTGGCAAATAATGCCTTAGAAAAGTGCACTCTGAGCTGGCTTACTCCATGTAGTTTCATGTTTTTCTTTTTTAAACAAAATCAACCCACCCAACACTTTAACCCTTTTTCTATAAAAAAAACAAAATCCATTCCAGCCACCCAGCCCTCATCCTCATGATCCACCCTCCAATAGCAAACCAGAATGTGCACAGGAAGGAGGAAAAACAGTTTCGGTAAGGATGTAAATATTGGTTTAAAGGTTCCAGTGGGTTGGTTGGAAAATCTCTGAGCCTGACAGATGTTGTTGTTTTGCTCATTTACAAATGTGTGTCTGATACTGTTAACACAGTACTTATTTTAATGTACCTTTTTTTGATCTTAATGTTCCAAATAAAATGTCCCGCGACATGTATATTATTTCTGTGGGTCTGACATTTTTCTGATTCTGGATATCAAAGTAACTTCTACTTTTTAAAGTCTGCAGCCATTATGTAGGATTGTATTTGATTCATTGCTGATTTGATGATGATGACCCAAGTACTGTAACTAGAAATGGAAGGGGATTTGCCTTGCCTTGTGTTCCAGACTAGGCTTGAAAATTGTATTCATAAAGCACTTTATTCATCCTATATTCACATTATGCATTTAAAGTAAATTTAAGTATAGTTGATTCTACACATGGCATGCAAAAATATGTCGCAGATAGACATATTACACAGGACAGTTCTTAAACTCTGAAGACTTTGAAGATAACAGCTTCTTTAAATGAAAATTTTATATGTATTTATAGTTATATGCCTAATTTGTTATAACTTTGTTATCACAAATAAGGTTTTTCAATCAGTCTCTCTGTTCTGTGTTGTGAATGGCACAGTACATGACTAGGATCACCTCACATGTTTGCATTTGAAAGATTTGGAAATAAAGCATATCATGGAGCTTCTATTTTAATTTTTTTTAATCTTCAGTTTTAATTAGAAGTGTTTATGTTCTTCAATCCTGCAGTTGCAGTTTAGAACATTTGAAGCTGCTTTATACCAAGACAGAATCGTAGTGCAGCTAAACTAATTTTCTGCTCTTCATGGCTGATGTTCTCCAGGGTTTCAGAGGGAAATTTAACACATGTCAGAGCGTGAGCCTGGAATCTTCTGCATTAAGATCACATGCTCTATCACTGAGCTATAGCCAGATCATATAGCCAAACATGGCTAATGTTTGCTATAAGCCATAACAATTTGTCCGTGAAAACAGAGCAAATTGTGGTCTTTTCCAGTACTCCTTCTTCCAGGTTGCAGCTTTGCAAAATCCAAAAGGAACTGAGAGGCTGTTTTTCCCTTTTGTTTTGTTACTGGTCAATGAAGAGCCTATCTGACCTTAGATAAATTACTGGTCATTTTCCTTTCCATGGGACGTGGTGGTGCTGTGGGCTAAACCGCAGAAGCCTGTGCTTCAGGGTCAGAAGACCAAGCAGTCGTAAGATCGAATGCACGCGATGGAGTGAGCTCCCGTCGCTTGTCCCAGCTCCCGCCAACCTAGCGGTTCGAAAGCATGCAAATGCAAGTAGATCAATAGGGACCACCTCGGTGGGAAGGTAACAGCGTTCTGTGTCTAAGTCGCACTGGCCATGTGACCACGGAAGATTGTCTTCAGACCAAACGCTGGCTCTATGGCTTGGAAACGGGGATGAGCACCGCCCCCTAGAGTCGAACTCGACTGGACAAAAATTGTCAAGGGGAACCTTTACCTTTACCTTTCCTTTCCAACTGAGTTTGTCATTTGTTCTGAAAAACAAATGAGATTTTTTTTCTCTTTATTTAAAAAAACACCTGTTTTAAATGTGTATTACAGAAGAGAACAAATGGTGCTCCAAATGGATTTTATTCAGAGATTGACTGGGAACGATATGTAAGTAAGAATAAAAGCCTCTCCTAGAGCATCCTTGACTATTTATCTCTGTAATTCATTTCTTTGTGTTTATGGAGAGTTCTTGGTTAATCTTTAAAAGACTTCTAGCCCATCCCATAATGATGGAACAAAGCAGGCAACAGCACCAAATATTTTGCAAGTAGAGTCAATTATGCCATGTGTCCTTCAATTTTTGGCCCACATTTTTTTGTTCTGGGTGATTTTCATATGGTTTGGCTTACTGGCCAAGCCCTTAATTGTTATTGCTGTCAGCTTCCACCCACACATCCTCCAACTTGCAGCATGCTGAGATGACAAGGACTTCTCTTGATTGTGGTGAAATGCAGGAAAGTAAAGAAACAGAGGGAGGGAGGGAGATTCCCACTGTTTCTAGCCTTTTCCAAATTATGGCGCAAACAATAGTCTTTTTCCTTGTCAAGCCCTCCAGGACCCACAAGGGGCCTGAGAAAAAACAGCCTTGTTTCACTTTTGCAGAGACATGTCAAGAAACACTCATTGGGTAAAAACTGGCAGGAATCACTCACACTGTTTGTTCTTCAGGCCCACTTCAAAGCAATCCCCACCATTCTCCCAAATCCTCTGTGCTTCTTGAAAGATTCAAGGAAGATCCAGAGTTTCTCCACATATAGCTTGTTAAGAGAAGATTAGAAACACTGTCATCTTCCCATCCCTACACAAATGAGAGAAGAAACTGCTGCTGCCAATTGTGGAGAGCTTGAAAGAGAGCTTGTGCTTCCACTCAACTCCAGGCTGTTTGAAAAAGGAAAGAAATATTTTCTCAGAGCTTTGAAATTCGCTTCTAAAAATGAGACACTTCCAGTTTTAATTCTAGCCCCCACAAAAAAAGCTGTAAATCATTACTGTTACAGGTATAACTGTTAAAGCTATTCTGTGTCCCTTGTTTTAAGAAGTAACTAGTAGAGTTGCCTTTTTAAACACCATTTTAAGAAAAATACTTGGATATTGCAAACCATTGACTTGTGGTATAAAACACTCTCCTTGTATCTGATATTCACAAGGGAGCACAAGGCAACAAAACAAGGCACAATGTACCCAAACACTTATTAGTGAAGCAGCATCCTTTGCAGTGTAATTATTTTAGCACTTATACTACTGACCATGCCCTGATCCCAAACTATGCAAGGAAGTCAGCATCATACCTTTGAAAGAGGAGACTGGCCATGGGCAGGCAAAAAAAAACTGAGCAGATTTTTGCCAGCCTTGATTCTACCCATAGACTAGGTAGGGTGTAAGGAGACACCCACTAAAATTGGGAGATTAGGCACTCCTTGCTCCAGTCCATAAACCACTTCTAATTCTGCTCACTAATATATAAGCAAGAGTATTTACATGTTTGAGCACCCCAGCTTTGAAGGTCTGTACCATTACTACTATAGAATATATATATATTATATATAAAATATTCTATCTCCATGTTAATTAGATTATATAAAGCTACCTTGAAAGAAATGGAAATAAACTATAAAACATTTTAAAACTATGTTAATGAGGAGAGATCCATTTCAGACTGTTTGTGCTGTTGAAATGGAAAACTAAGTTAATTAAAAGAAATTAAAAAGTATGTTGAAAGAGTTTTAGCTTAAATTTAGCTAAAAAGAAGATAGAAGTTTAAATAAACTGTTTCTTATGGCACTTATACTTTCTGTTTTATGGTATGTGCCCAAGAAAGCCTTATAATAAAAGTGTCATATCTCCTTTCTGGCAATTATATTTTATAAAATGTTTTGAGATACTGTACCATAATAATATATAATAACCACCCCAATCTATTATACAGTAGCCAACCACTATGAGTATAGGTTAATTGCCTTCTGTCTGCTTCCCTGTAAAATGACAGGAATATTCAGACAAAACAATTTTTATTACACATATTACCTTGGGACAGTCATGCAAATGTAACAGTAGCCTTTACAGAGACATATTCTTTTTGCCCTCCGTAATAGCGATAGTTTGATGCAAAGATACTGCCGATTTCTGTTTTTGGTTTTGCTTTATTAATTTAATTGTAAGTTGTATATTCTCTGCTATGCAGAGACCAGTGCAACAGTGATTTAACTGTATGACTGAGAAAACAAGTGCCTAGGCTGACTCTTCATTCCAGCTAATGCTGCACAACTGAGAAAAGATTGCATCTGCCCATATGCCCGTTGTTTATCGGACAAGTATTTGATATTAATGAGATACTGTATTTGTAGGAGAAGAAATGGAAAACTTGGTATTGTACTTTATTTCGCCCGAATAATCTAATTGCTTAACTCTTTTTGCTGCGTTAGAATTCACCTGAGCTTGATGAAGAAGGATACAGCATCAGGCCAGAAGAACCAGGCTATATCCTTCCTTGTTCATTTTACAGGAGGGTTTGCAAACTCCCAAAATGATAGTGGGTTAATTATGACATGGACACTACATTTTGAAATTCTATTTCTTCCACTGACTGTAATGCCACAAAGATATAGAATTAATTAATTATTACAAAATTAACTTCTTACTTGTCTTGCTAGACTGGGATTCTTAGACTTGGGAAGGCCACTTTGCTGGTGGCTATGTTGATACTTCCTCCTCTTTCAGGAATTGTATTTATACTGTATGTTTGGGTGGCAGTGGATCTCCTTAGAATAATCGGCAATTAAACACTGCCATTTCACACACACACACCATTGCTGTAGTGGTGTGTTGTCCTGTTCCAAGAGATCCGCTACAGAAGACACAGAATCTTCTAATGAAATACAGTGGTGCCCCGCATAGCGAGGTTAATCCATTCCGAATTAACCCTCGCTATGAGGAAACATCGCTAAACGGGATGCAAAATGCCATTGGAACGCATTAAACTTAGTTTAATGCGTTCCAGTGGTTTCTATACTCACCGTTAAGCGAAGTTTCCTCATAGCGCCGCCATTTTCGTGCCCTCAGTAAGCGAGGGCAGGGCGCGAAAATGGTTGCGGTGGCCATTTTGGGTCATCCGGCGGCCATTTTGGAGCCTCCGAACAGCTGATTTCCCAGCGTCGCAATGCGAGTTTTAGCCATAGAGCCATCGGTAAGCGATCGCATTAGCGATCTCAAAAAAGAGATCGCTATGTAATTTCATCATTATATGGCGCGCTCGTTAAGCGAGGCACCACTGTACTTTTTTGAAGAGGAAAGAGCCTTGTGGCATCTTAAAGAATGATAACATTGTGGTTCATCAAATACATGTGACCCAGAGTCTAAAAAGCTTATGCCAAACAAAATATATTAGGACTAAATCCAGTTATTAGTCCCAACTAGACTAGACACTTTGAGTCATGGAACTTACATACGTGTTGATTTCAAGTTCCATTTATTCACTGAGTCTACTATAACTGGATTTATCTCTTTGTCTTTAAAGCGCCGGAAGACTATTGTTTTAGCAGCAAAAGGTGAAGGGTGCAAACCTAACTAGCTAAGGTGGCTGGAGTTCAGGTGAGTTGACATTGGCCAACTGTGAAGGCAAGGGATGTTGAAAAGTCCTTAGAACTACCCTCACATGTGCCTAATTTTGTGCCATCATAGTGGTTACCTTCTTGACTTGCAAGAGGTTTGGATGTGGTATAACATGGCTGCTCGCCTCACTTTACCTCTGCTCCACTTCCTTTTGGTTCTTCCACTAGCAGATTCTAGCCTACAGTGTGGTTGTCTGCCTATTTGTAGTGCTTGCAAGTGGTGCATTTTTAGTTATGTTAGCAATATAAGATCCCCTCCCCCTGAAATTTAAAAAAGAAAGGAAAGGAAAGGAAAAACTACTGCCATTCCTATCAGCAAATCTAAGGAAAGAAATTGACCAGTAGCCATATACATTGAGCAGAAATTGTTAAATGCCTTGCTATAAAAGACAGATGTAGTAGTAAACTATGGTTTGTAACCACTAACAAATCTAAGCGATGAAAACATGCAAAAATAATAGTTGATTCAGCTAAACTCTTCTTCTTAAGTTACTATTATTAGTTTTCCTTTGTCACATTTCCACAGTTATAGTTCAAAGTTCAACTGCATTTCTCTTTAACTGTGATCTACCTACCAAAGGAAAGCACTTTTATTCCTCAAGCGAATCTGAAGAGGAGGAAGAGGCACATAAGAAATTCAACATTAAAATCAAGCCTTTACAATCTAAAGATGTCAAGAGTGCAGCAACTGTTGATGAATTGAAAGCTTCTATAGGCCACATTGCACTTTCACCGTCTCCAGTGGTAAGTAAAACATTCTTCAGTATATTTCTTGATTAGTATTGCACAAATAATTTTGTTTAGTGTATTCGCAAAGGCTTTCATGGCCGCCATATAATGGTTGTTATGGGTTTTTTGAGCTCTTTGGTCATGTTCTGAAGTTTGCTCTTCCTAACGTTTCGCCAGTCTCTGTGGCCAGCATTCTCTGCCAGTCTCTGATGCCAGCCACAGAGACTGGCGAAACATTAGGAAGAACAACCTTGAGAACATGGCCAAAGAGCCCGAAAAATTTTGCTTACTTCTGTAATTTTAACATTTGGTTGATTAGAATTTTTATTATACCAAATTTCAGGTTTATCTAGTGGATCAATAATAAACAGATTATTTTAGATTCAGAATATGCTTAAAATAATGTCTTCTGTTGTGCAAAAGTATTTTACAGGTTTTTTAAACCTACACAGCTGAACTATGGCACCATGTTTTTTGTGTATAATGTCTGCGTCTCACTAAGCCTTATTTTTCTCAAATCCACCAAAGGCATAAATTTGATCTATACTTAATGAAGAAGACTTTGCAGTGCAAATGAGAAAAATATTTCTGTTTATTTATTCAGAATAGGGCCAGCCTCTCACCAGGGCCATTAGTTACATTAGCCACAGTCAAAAGGCTGACTGTAGTTTCCACCACTATGCTTTATCTTGAGCCACCTTTTAACAACTGACAATGCTTCAAAAAGAATTATGATAGATGGAGGGGTCAGTAACTATTAGTTAGACAGGGGTTTAATATCTATAACCATGTATATATTTAGAAGACTTCAAAATTAATTAATTGGATCATGCCACTTACTAATTTTGTAAGCTTCCATAGGAGTATAAAGTATTATCCTCTAGACACTGTATAAACACTTTCAATGCATATAAATAACTATATACATTTAGGCAATATGAAGTAATAAGACCATAAAACTATCTGTACTGGAGCAGAACAAAGGCCAGTCTGATCAAGCATTTTTCTCTCTCCACATTGGCGTACAAGAGCATGACAGCCTGTCCTGCATTTGTCCCATGAACACTCATATGGTATTCAGAGATGTAGTGCAATTAATATTGGATGCTTAGAATTAGAGTTAGATAATCTGTAAATATCATGATTAGAAGTCACTGACAACTGTATCCTCCAATGAATAAGACTCAGCTACACTCTGCTACTAAGTTACATCTGAGTCCCATAAATCAGTGGTCCCCAACCTTGGGCCTCCAGATGTTCTTGGGACTTCAACTCCCAGAAATCCTGAGCAGCAGAGGTGGTGGTGAAGGCTTCTAGGAGTTGTAGTCCAAGAACATCTGGAGGCCCAAGGTTGGGGACCACTGCCATAAATGACTTCAGTCCTCTGTAAACAAGAGCTTTCATCACAGAAGTGAACAGTGAATGGGCATTAAGAATAAGATGTAGGCAGTTAGAACCTTTCCAGATTTCTAGAATAATTATTATAATTATAATTCTGGCTTAGTATGTACTTTTCTGGACATACATGGTGGTTTTGAAAACTGAAATAAATTCTGGGTCTTAAATTGAACTGTTGTATATATCTTAATATAAGGCATTTAACATCTCTTTATGCAGGTGCTTGCCTTTCTTTTCTATTATCTTCTAATTACTTTGACATTGGGGTTAAGCATATTTCAGATGATTAGCCTACCCTCCTGCCACAATTAGATTTTTTCAGAATCCTGTATTTTAGCACTCAGACTTGGAAATTAAGCCCATGTTTTTCTTCCAATCAGCAATTACAAAATAAAGCATAATAAATGAAACATGCATTGGTGAGGAAAATCATGTGCTGTGACAAATACTATGATATGTGTCACCATTTGTGGGAGTACATCATAAATCTAAAAAAGCAATAAAACTAAAATTTAAAAAGCAAAGTGTGCTGCTTATATACGGTCCCATAGCACTTAAAGCACTCTCTGCGAATGCTTCAGCTGGGGACTCAATTTGCCAATCTCAGAAGGATGGAAGGTTGAGTGAACCTTGAGCTGGCTACCTGAGCCCGTCAGGATAGAACTTGGGTCAGGAGCTGAGTTTTGGCTCCAATACTGCAGTTTAACCACTGTGCCATTAAGCCCCTGCAAGATTAAAATTTTAATAAGTTTGATTTTCAGTTACTGAGGCTAAACTGCTTCACAAACTAGACTCCCCCTAGTCTTGTTCTCATATCTATTTGTGCTATAAATGCACTAGTTCATCTGCCATCTCCTGTCGCCAAGAAATCCCAGGAATTATTTTTTCTGTTAGCCAATCTAAATCTGAATTTATTTGATCAAGTCAATAAAGGAAGCCATGTTCTTCAATTTGCAGGACCTTAGAAGGACTGCTAGTGATAGGACCTTTGGAAGTATTACATTGTAGGGTTGCCATAAATTGTGTGTGACTTTATGGCACAGAACAACAATGAATCTTCAGCACCCTCACAAAAGTCCTATTCCTGACATTCTTGTGTCGCGTACTGTCAAGTTGATTCTAACTTACAGCATCCCTTTCCAGGGTTTTTAGTTATAGAATATTCAGAAGTGGTTTGCCACTCCTTCTTTTGTGGAACCCTGGGACAGTGCAGCTTGTCCAAGTTTACAAAGGTTGGTTCTTATCCTGGGACACATTGGGGAACTGGACTCCCACCTCTCCTAACTGTCTGAGCAATCCATGCAGGGACACAGTTTTTTCTAAGAGCTCTTGAGTTTGCAATTGAACAAAATAAATGATCATTGTCTGTTTTCATTTTGCAAACAAATAGAGATTTCCAATTAGTAGTCACATTTTATTTGTTGCCTAGATTTTAATCATAGCAAACAGCATGATTGCATTTGTAAGCCAGATATGTAAACCGGACCAAGAGAAACTAAAACTGCACTCAGCTGAAATAACATAGTTTTGTTTAACACTGCTGCTAAGAGCATATTTATGCTAGTTGTTTTTTGTTTTCGGAATTATTTATTTATTTATTTAGATGCTGCTACATTACATTCCTTGCTTATATATCTGTTATATATGCTGTTGACTGGTTAGTCAGTCACTCTTTACTCTTGTTAAGTGAGCTTTACAGTGATTATGAATTCACCAGCTTGTTGCAGCTGGGCTGGAAGACTAGACAAAAGTGTATTATATTGTTGTTTATGGAAGACAAGTTCAAGAGTTGATTTGTAACACTCTTTCCGGGACTGTGGAAGATGTGGAAACAGTAAATCAGAATGATAGCTTTGTTGCATTGCAGAGAATGCAGCTTTCTGATCCACTGGGACTTTACATCTTTAAGAAACTTGAATGTGAGGCTGTAATGCTTTTTGTGGAAAGTAGGATGCTAAAAAATATAAGTGAATTCCATAGTTCTATAATTGTCTATGATGAAGAATTATTAGGATACATACCAAGGGTATTTAATTGCTTGAAACATTTTTGTGGGGCAGCATAGATGTATGCATGCACAATGTTTCTTAGTTTATACCCATGCATACATCTTATATTAAATGCAGTCAGAAAACAAAGTTCTCTTGTGTACTGTTTTTAACTTGATGAGTAGAAATGATGTACAGTATTATATAATACAGCAACTGAATTGCACTACTTGGATATAATCTTGTGCCCAAATCTTTAGTATTCTGTTACTGACAGAAGGATAACCATGAGTACCCCCATAACCTCTTCTCTATTGCATCATCCTATGGTAGATCTAAAGACAACTAGAGAAGTTATTGTGCTAATGATTCCCTATGTAATGCCCCACTTCAGCTCCTCCTTTCCCTGTCACATTGATTACAAGGAATTATTATATGGAAGGGTCATGTGAATCAGACATAGTACCTTCAAAGACTGCCTGTAATGCTTTGATAGAGCTTTTTTTAGGTTATTGGTTCAAATTCAGGCAATGTGAGAGAAAGCTGGCAATGCTTCACTCAAGATTAGCTAGTGCCATGGATTGCTTAACAATCAAACTGTGAATTTTTCAGTGTGTTCAGTCAGAGGATGCTTGTCTCTTTTTTTGGTTCAATACAGTCCTTCTGTACTAATGAATATGAGTACTTATTCCAACTATTGCAATACAGCTCAGAGAAAATAGTACAATTAAAGCCTTAGGTGGTTTCAAAAGAAAATTTTGCTATAAATGTATCACATTTATGAAGCATTATGTGAACTCTGAAGTTATGTAAGAGAAAACTTCCCATCTGATGGGTTAGTCAGTACAAACTGAGTACTTGGTTTTTTTAAATGAGTATGGCAGTCTTATCAAGCTTGCATCACTAGTAGGAAGAGCAAAAGGGGAAGTTTCCTCTAGATTCCAATTCACTTGGTAAACAAAAAAATGTTTCGTTTATAAAGTTTGGTGTCTAGTGTCTACTACCAACCCACTTAGGGAGCATTTACATTTTCCTTTATTGTTCTTTGAAGTTCCTTTTGTTCATATCCAGTGCTATTCTTCATCATAATGATAATGATAAAAATGTGTATTACTGTCTTATAGTGAAACCACTGTAAAACAGAAGTGGCTTCATTTCAGTTGTCTCTTAAGAATTTTAACTGGGTCTTCTGCTTCTTCAGGTACTTATATCAAGATCAAAAGTATGACATTCTAAAAAAGGATCTCAAAACACTATTAAACTTTATAACACCCTCCCTTGATAGTTCAAGTCTGTGTTGTTCTCTCACAGCTGACATTTATCTCTGAAAGTGGTAATTCCAGTGTGAAATCAGGTAACCATTTCCAATCATATCACAGTTCATCTAGTTATCAAAATATAAGTTATTTACTTGTTTCCACCTGGCTCACCAGAAATGCACCAGAACTTGCTCCATATCTCTTCAGAAGATGAGAGTAAACCACTGTTCTCACACATGGTGAAGTAAACAGATAAAAAGAGTTCAGGCAACATTAGCTTGTCTTATTCTACAAGCTTTATTAATATGTATTTCCTCTATGCAAATAATAATTCAACAGTTATTAAAAATATGTAATGTTTTGAGAAATC